CACCTGAGGGGACATCCAGGCTGACGATGGGGATGCGCAGCAGCCGGAGCGTGCCCAGGATGGCCGCGCAGGGCTCCGGCCCCTCGCTGCCCTCGGCTCCCAGCACCGCGTCCACCACGGCGTTGTAGGCGTCGTCGATGAGCTGCACCTGGGGGCGACGGCGACCTTTGGGTGTCACCTCGGGCCGCGCCCGGCCCCGCCGCTCCGCCGCCAAAACAAAACAAATCCCCCCAAAAGCGGAGCGGCGGCGAGGGACGGGCGCGGAGCCGAGCCCGGCACGCCGAGACGCGCGGCCCGGGCCAGGACGGTGAATTTTGGGTCAAATTCCTGCGTTCCCAGCGCTGGGAGATTCCAAAAATAACAGAGCCGGTGGCTGCAGGCAGCGGCCGCTGGATTCCGCGGCATCCCCGGGATCCCGGCAGCGGGAGCGGGGAGCGGGAGAGGGGAGCGGGGTTTGGGGGTTCGGGGGTTCGGGCCGGGAAAGGGAGAAGGGAATGAGCGATAAATCCGAGAAATTGGGCAGGGCGATTTTAGGGAGAGGGAAAGGAGAAAAGAGAATGAAAAAAGGGAAAAGCTGGAGGATTTGGGGGTTCGCAGAGGGGAAAAGGAGGAGGGGGATGAACAGGGGGATTTTGGGAGGGGATAAAAAGAGAAGGGAAAGAGGGGTAAGCAGGGGGATTGGGGGATTCCAGGGGAGGGGGAAAGGGAAGGAGAAGGGCCATGAGCGGGGCTGGGGCGCCGGGGTCACCTCGGTGGGCAGGTAGGACAGGAAGGGGATGTCCATCTTCTCGCACTGCGTGGTGAAGTCGCGGTGCAGCGGCTCCGGGGAGCGCTTGGGGTAGAAGATGGTGGGCTCGTAACCCTGCGGGAAAGGGCAGCGCTGGGGCCGGAGCCCGGCAGGAGCAGCAGCAGCAGCAGCAGCGGCAGGACGGGCGCGGAGGTACCCACAAAGCTGCGGAGGTGGCGGGCGCACACCAGCCCGATGGCGCCGTTCTGCGCCGGCCCGCACGCCACGAGCAGCGTGGGCTGGCGGCGCGGCAGCGACGGCAACGGGAACGCCTGCGGGGACAGCGGGTGGCACCGTGACACGGGGGACTCGGGTGGCACCGTGACACCGGGGACAGCGGGTGGCACCGTGACACGGGGGGCAGCGGGTGGCACCGTGACACCGGGGACTCGGGTGGCACCGTGACATGGAGGGACTCGGGTGGCACCGTGACACCGGGGGCAGCGGGTGGCACCGTGACATGGAGGGACTCGGGTGGCACCGTGACACCGGGGACAGCGGGTGGCACCGTGACATGGAGGGACTCGGGTGGCACCGTGACACGGCACCCAGGGTGGGATGGAGGTGGCACATGGAGCAGGACGGGGATGGGATCAGGGGAGGGAATGGGATGGGATGGGAATATGGGATGGGATCCATGGCACGGCACGGGATCCATGGCACAGGGTCCATGGCACGGGACCCATGGCATGGCACAGCACGGGGTCCATGGCACGGATCCATGGCATCCACAGCAGGACTTGGGCAGCACTCGGAGTGGGATGGAACAGGGGCCGGGCTGGGATGAGGATGGTGCCTGTGGTGGGATGAAGATGATGCCCACAGTGGGATGAAGACGATGCCCACGGTGGGATGAAGACGATGCCCACGGTGGGATGAAGACGATGCCCACGGTGGGATGAAGATGATGCTCACGGTGGGATGAAGACGATGCCCACGGTGGGATGAAGATGATGCCCACGGTGGGATGAAGACGATGCCCTCGGTGGGATGAAGATGATGCCCACGGTGGGATGAGGACAGCGCACATCCTGGGGTGAGGACAATGCCTGTGGTGGAATCCCAAGGTGGGCTCAGGGTGTGCCCGGGTGGGAGCGGGGCCGTGCCCAGGGCAGGGGCACGGAGCTGCCCGGGCCGGGCCGTGCCCGCGGCCCCCCCATCCCGCCCGCTGCACATTCCAGGCTCCGCTGGGGCGGGAGGAGGGAGGAGGAGGGAGGAGGAGGGAGGGAGGAAGGCTCTGTTTATCCACTGACGGATTTTTTCCTGCTCACGGATCCTGGCTCCGGGACCCGTCCCCAGCGCCCGGAGCGGGACACGGCCCCGGTGGCCCGGCCCTGGCCCTGGCCCAGCGCTGGCCGCGCCGCCGGCACCTCCTGGCACCGGGGACACGGCGGGGACACGGCGGGGACACGGCGGGGACACCGCGGGGACACCCCGGCCGGCTGGGCGAGCCAGAGCTGGGGGGCCCTGAGGAAGAGGAGGATGCTGAGCCCCAGGTGGGGTCAGGGATGCTGCAACGGCACCAAAACTTTTCTGCTCCTCGGGCAGCCCTTGGAGCAGGGAAGGGCCGATGGAAAAGCTGAGGCGGGCGCGGAGCTCCCGGCCCGAGGCACAAAGCTGCCCTTGATGGAGCCCTGGGCCTCCTCCTCCTCCTCCTCCTCCTCCTCACATCCCGCACGAGCCCCGGGCGATCCCAGCAGCAGCGACATCGCCAGGACACGGGGACACCTCTGGGGACCCCCACGACCCCCGCCCCGACCCCCCGGGCAGGGCTGAGCATCCCCCTCCCCATGGGGACCCCAGCCCCTCGGGGTGTCCCCAGCCCCTCTGGGTGTCCCCAGCCCCTCCGGGTGTCCCCAGCCCCTCGGGGTGTCCCCAACCCCTCGGGGCGCCCCCAGCCCCTCGGGGTGTCCCCAGCCCCTCGGGGTGTCCCCAGCCCCACCTTGGTGACAGCCACGGCACAGGCGTGTCCCCAGATCTCGATCAGCTGCTGCCGCCCGAAGCGATAATCCTCCAGCAGCTCCTTCTCCATGGCCTCGGCCTCCGCCCGGCTGCCTCGGGGACAGGCGGCGCTCAGGACACGGGGACGGAGCTGTCCCCGAGCCCGGCAGCTCGGGACCCGCTCCGCCCCGGACGGGATTTTGGGACGCGGGGCGAGCGCGCCGGGGGCGCGGGGTGGGCACCGCGGTGGGGACGGGCACGGGGGGCACGGGGGGGGCACAGGGATGGCACGGGGATGTCGCACGGGTGGCACACGGGTGGCACACGGGTGGCACACGGAGGACACCGTGAGCCCAGGGCCCGGGGCGGGAGCGGCGCTCGGCCGAGCTGGCGGCGGCCCCGGTTCCCCGGTTACATAAAAGCGAACAAAGCCGCGGTTGTTCCGCCGCCGCCGAGCCCGGAGCTGGCAGCGCCCAGCGCGACAATAATTGCTCACATCTGTTGGCTTCACCTGCGCGGGCGGAGCGGCCTGGGCCGCCTCCAGCGCCCGCCGCGGCCGCCGGCAGCGAGCCCAGCCCCGCCGGGCCGGGATCCCGGCGGCACCGGGGAACCGAGCGGGGCCGGGGCGTCCGGACCCCGCCGTGCCCGGGATGGGGGAACCGCTCAGAGCCAGCCCCGGGAGGGCACCGGGCACTGCCACGGGGCAGCTGGGGGGGCCGGGCTGGGGTCCCGGGTTGGGGCCCCAGGCTGCAGGGTGCTCCCACCGCGTCCAGGCTGTCCCTACGGACCAGCCAGAGCCCAAAAAAAACCCTCGGTCATTCCAGCAGGGCCCCAGCAAGATCCTGCTTCCCCCATTCCCACATCCCACCCCTTGGCTGTCCTGATAAACCTGCCAGGAAAACTCCATCCCGTCCTGTTCCATGTTCCCATCCCATATTCCCATCCCAGATTCCCATCCCATGTTTCCATCCCATGTTCCCATCCCAGATTCCCATCCCATGTTTCCATCCCAGATTCCCATCCCAGATTCCCATCCCATGTTCCCATCCCATGTTCCCATCCCAGATTCCCATCCCATGTTCCCATCCCATACTCCCATCCCATATTCCCATCCCAGATTCCCATCCCATGTTTCCATCCCATGTTCCCATCCCAGATTCCCATCCCATGTTCCCATCCCATGTTCCCATCCCAGATTCCCATCCCAGATTCCCATCCCATGTTCCCATCCCATACTCCCATCCCATACTCCCATCCCATACTCCCATCCCAGATTCCCATCCCATGTTCCCATCCCATGTTTCCATCCCATGTTCCCATCCCATACTCCCATCCCAGATTCCCATCCCAGATTCCCATCCCATCCCTGTCCCCAATCCTTTGGTGCCCTCTAGTGAGTCCCAGCCCTGTCCCAGCCCCGCCCGGGGGTCCCGGGGCCAAAGCCGGGGGAGAAGGGCTGGGGAGGGACCGGGGCTGCCCGGAGCCCCTCCCGGGCCCGCCCGGAGCCCCTCCCGGGCCGCCCGGAGCCCCTCCCGGGCTGCCCGGAGCCCCTCCCGGGCCCGCCCGGAGCCCCTCCCGGGCCCAGCTGGGTTGTCCCCGCCCGGCGAAAGCCGCGCGTGGGCCGCAGTTCCCGTTCCCGAGCGCTTCGTCCCCGGCCGCTGCTGGCAGGACTCGCCGGGCCCGGCCCCGCGGGGCTGGCACCGGCACCGGCACCGGCATCGGCACCGGGCGGGGGACACGGCGGGGGCGCCCCGGGAGCTGCAGCCGCACCCCCGGAACGCATCCCAGTCCCATCCCAGTCCCGTATCCCGGTCCCATCCCAGTCCCGCATCCCGGTCCCATATCCCGGTCCCGTATCCCAGTCCCATCCCAGTCCTGTATCCCGGTCCCATCCCGGTCTCATGCCGGTCCCACATCCCATTCCCATCCCGGTCCCGTATCCCAGTCCCATCCCAGTCCCGTATCCCGGTCCCATCCCAGTCCCGTATCCCGGTCCCACATCCCGGTCTCATCCCAGTCCCGTATCCCAGTCCCATATCCCGGTCCCATCCCGGTCTCATCCCAGTCCCGTATCCCAGTCCCGTATCCCGGTCCCATCCCGGTCCCATCCCGGTCCCATTCCCCGTTCCATATCCCGGTCCCATCCCGGTCTCATCCCAGTCCCGTATCCCAGTCCCGTATCCCAGTCCCGTATCCCAGTCCCGTATCCCGGTCCTATCCCCGTTCCGTATCCCGGTCTCATTCCCCGTTCCCGTTCGCCGCTCGCTCCCGGCACAGCCCGGCCGTGGGATCCTCCCGTCCCTGCCGCTTGTCCCCGCTGTCCCCTCTGCGTGTCCCCGGTGCCCATCCCGGTGTCCCCGGTGCCCATCCCGGTGTCCCGGTGTCCCGGTGTCCCGGTGTCCCCGGTGTCCATCCCGGTGTCCCCGGTGCCCATCCCGGTGTCCCGGTGTCCCGGTGTCCCCGGTGTCCATCCCGGTGTCCCCGGTGCCCATCCCGGGTCCCCGCGCTCCTCTCCCGCCGCCCTCCGGAGCATCCCCGCCGCAGCCATGGAGACCCGGGATGCGGTTGCTCCGGCAACGGCGGCTCCGTGGGTACCGACCCACGGCCTCAGGGGACACCCGTGGGGACCGGGACCGCGCCGGGGCTGGCTCCGAGCCGGGGCAGCTCCCGGGGCGGCGGGGAGGTCCCGTTCCACCCCCGCGGGGTCCCGGTCCCGAGGCAGCCCCGGCCGAGCGGCGCCGCCCGGAGCTGCCGGAGCTGCCGGTGCTGCCGGGGCTGCCGGGGCTGCCGGTGCTGCCGGGGCTGCCGGTTTTGCCGGAGCTGCCGGTGCTGCCGGAGCTGCCGGTGCTGCCGGAGCTGCCGGAGCTGCCGGAGCTGCCGGTGCTGCCGGTTCAGCCGGTGCTGCCGGAGCTGCCGGTGCTGCCGGAGCTGCCGGTGACGCCCGGAGCTGCCGGAGCTGCCGGGGCTGCCGGGGCTCCTCGGGGGGACCCCCGGGCTCACCTGAGGTAGCGCGGCGGCTCCCGGGGCGGGCCGGGCGCGGAGCTCATGGCGGGACGGGAGCGGGACGGGAGCGGCGGCGGAGCCGAGCACCGGCGGGAGCCGCACGGAGCCTCCGTGCGCGGCCGGACCGGACCCGGCGGCTCCGGATCCCGGGAATGCCGAGGGTGCTCGGCCGGATCCCGGGAGTGCCGAGGATGCTCCGGCCGGATCCCGGGAATGCCGAGGGTGCTCCGGCCGGATCCCGGGAATGCCGAGGATGCTCCGGCCGGATCCCGGGAATGCCGAGGGTGCTCCGGCCGGACCGGATCCCGGGAATGCCGAGGATGCTCCGGCCGGATCCCGGGAGTGCCGAGGATGCTCGGCCGGATCCCGGGAATGCCGAGGATGCTCCGGCCGGATCCCGGGAATGCCGAGGGTGCTCGGCCGGACCGGATCCCGGGAATGCCGAGGGTGCTCCGGCCGGATCGGATCCCGGGAATGCCGAGGGTGCTCGGCCGGAGCGGATCCCGGGAATGCCGAAGGTGCTCGGCCGGAGCGGATCCCGGGAATGCCGAGGGTGCTCGGCCGGAGCGGATCCCGGGAATGCCGAGGGTGCTCGGCCGGATCCCGGGAGTGCCGAGGATGCTCCAACCGGACCAGATCCCGGGAGTGCCGAGGATGCTCGGCCGGATCCCGGGAATGCCGAGGGTGCTCCGGCCGGATCCCGGGAATGCCGAGGATGCTCGGCCGGATCCCGGGAATGCCGAGGGTGCTCGGCCGGAGCGGGGCCGGCGCTCGGCGGTGCCGCCCGGGGGGAGGCGGCTCCGGTGCCCCCGCCCCGCTGCCGGGAATGCCGCCCGTGCTTCCCGGCCCGGGAATTCCAACCGCGCCGCAATTCTGGTGTTAAACCCGCCCAGATCGGGGCTTTTCCCATCCCAAAAGGAGATCCCAATCCCAAAGGGGGGATCCCAATCCCAAAGGGGGGATCCCAATCCCAAAGGGGGGATCCCAATCCCAAAAGGAGACCCCAATCCCAAAGGGGGATCCCAATCCCTAAGGGGGATCCCAATCAAAAAGAAAGGATCCCAATCCCAAAAGGAGATCCCAATCCCAAAGGGGAGATCCCAATCCCAAAAGGAGACCCCAATTCCCAAAGAAGGAAATTCCAATCCCAAAGGGGGGATCCCAATCCCAAAGGGGGATCCCAATCCCAAAGGGGGATCCCAATCCCAAAGGGGGATCCCAATTCCCAAAGAATTTATTCATTTATTAATTCATTATTTATTAATTATCGATGAACAGGAGTCAGAAGAAGCTCAGGATGGGGGAAACAGCTGGAGAGAGACGGGAAAAGGGGGGGAAGTTTGGGAAGGGCGGGGTTTGGGATTTGGGGTTTTTGGGGTTTGGGATTCGGGGTTTTTGGGGGTTTGGGATTTGGGGTATTTGGGGGTTTGGGGTTCGGGATTTGGGGTTTTGGGATTTGGGGTTTTTGGGGATTTGGGGGTTTGGAGGATTTGTGGGTTTGGGATTTGGGGGTTTGGGGTTTTTGGGGTTTGGGATTTGGGGTCAGACGTAGTTCTGCAGGCCGAACTGCTCCCGCTCCAGCTCGCCGCGGGGCCGCAGGAAGTAGAGCTCCTCCAGCGTGGGCGGCACCCAGCGCTCCGTGTGGAAACGGGACTCGCCCACCTGCAACGGCCGGAACGGGCGGGAACGGGCGGGAACCGGGACGGGAACCGGGACNTCGGCGGTGCCGCCCGGGGGGAGGCGGCTCCGGTGCCCCCGCCCCGCTGCCGGGAATGCCGCCCGTGCTTCCCGGCCCGGGAATTCCAACCGCGCCGGAATTCTGGTGTTAAACCCGCCCAGATCGGGGCTTTTCCCATCCCAAAAGGAGATCCCAATCCCAAAGGGGGGATCCCAATCCCAAAGGGGGATCCCAATCCCAAAGGGGGATCCCAATCCCAAAAGGAGATCCCAAACCCAAAGAAGGAAATTCCAATCCCAAAAGGAGATCCCAATCCCAAACGGGGATCCCAATCCCAAAGGGGGATCCCAATCAAAAAGAAAGGATCCCAATCCCAAAAGGAGATCCCAATCCCAAAAGGAGATCCCAATCCCAAAGGGGGATCCCAATCCCAAAAGGAGATCCCAATCCCAAAAGGAGATCCCAATCCCAAAGGGGGATCCCAATCAAAAAGAAAGGATCCCAATCCCAAAAGGATACCCCAATTCCCAAAGAAGGAAATTCCAATCCCAAAAGGAGATCCCAATCCCAAAGGCAGAATCCCAATCCCAAAGGGGGGATCCCAATCCCAAAGGGGGATCCCAATCCCAAAGGGGGGATCCCAATCCCAAAGGGGGATCCCAATCCCAAAAGGAGATCCCAATCCCAAAGGGGGATCCCAATCCCAAAAGGAGATCCCAATCCCAAAAGGAGACCCCAATTCCCAAAGAAGGAAATTCCAATCCCAAAGGGGGGATCCCAATCCCAAAGGGGGGATACCAATCCCAAAAAGAGATCCCAATCCCAAAGGGAGATCCCAATCCCAAAGGGGGATCCCAATCCCAAAGGGGGGATCCCAATCCCAAAGGGGGATCCCAATTCCCAAAGAAGGAAATTCCAATCCCAAAGGGGGATCCCAATCCCAAAGAATTTATTCATTTATTAATTCATTATTTATTAATTATTGAGGAACAGGAGTCAGAAGAAGCTCAGGATGGGGGAACAGCCGGAGAGAGACGGGAAAAGGGGGGGAAGTTTGGGAAGGGCGGGGTTTGGGATTTGGGGTTTTTGGGGATTTGGGGGTTGG